GTCAGAACGAAGTTACGGAAAGTTAATTAACGAACGGAGACGTAACAATATTTTAGTATACGCGGCTACTCCCACACAGGACTGGATTATGGGCAAAGGGGTAACAAATAAGTACAATTTCCCCAGGATGCTCAATCAAGAGAAAAATCAAAAACATAATCAAAACTGGATGTCTCTTTCAAAAATATGTTTGTAACTGGCACAATGACAACAGCAGTTTTAATTGTTTCATATAAACCTATTACTTTGTTATTTTTCATTAACTTGTTCTTACAACTTTTTTTCATAAATATTTGCTTGGCCATTTAGCAACAAATTCAGTATCCTTACTTTATATTCATTATAAGTATGAAAATAAGTATTTTGTATATTATCTACCCATTTCTTGTGTTTCTGTATTGCTCAAACTTTATTTAACAAATCGTATTGAATTTTATTTGACTTATTTATGAATTTCAGTTCTGAGGGCTCCCCTACAAAATTTACCCTAGGACCCCCCCTCAAGTCCTTAATTTGGCCCATATACCACAGATGTTAAGTGCTTCATGACTTTGGTAAATTGTGATAAAGCTGCTTGCTGATCATTCATGTTTCTTATATCTGTTGCTGTTTTTTAAAATCATATCTGAACAAAGATCAACTGGTTGCAGTTTCCATACTAGTTCCAGGTCTATCTATGGTTTAGTTGTAGCTGTGTAGACTTTAGTGAAGCTAATTGTTTGGGCTTTACTTCGGGAAGAATATAGATTTATTAGTTTAACTGCTGTTGTTCCTAGACACATGTTGGAATATGTTGCCAGATGTTATTTAGAAAAGCATTTGAAATATTTACTTTTAATTAAAGATTTGCATCATGGGTTTAGAAGAATGTTTACTTGCCTAACCAAATTGCTGAATTTTTTTTGTCTAGGGTAAGGATCAATACCCTATTTAATGTTGTATGTCTAGATTTTCAGAGAGCCTTTGATAAGGTGCCTCATGTGAAACAAATTTCTACATTAGTTGCTTATTGTAAATCAGAGAAGAATATAGCAGGTACAGAATTGACTTAGTGCATTTTTCCCAGTCATGGAAAGTGATTAGCAGGGGTTCTGTTTTTTGCCTGTTTTGGGACTGATGTTGTCTTTCTTTATTGCTAGTGAGTTGGATAGCAGCTTGGAAAGCTAGATTTTCAGATTCACTAATAATATTAAGATGCTGGAAAAAGGTCCTTCTTTTAATAATATTTATTCAAAAAAACCTTGTTTCATTTTTTTGAGAAGTGTAAAGTTCAGCAAAAAATGAGACTTAAGCACTTTTAGTTTGGAAAGTAAGAAACATTGTTATTGTAGGAGATAGAAAGAGATCTGGGTATTATTGTTTATATTATTCTATTGCCATATCTTATAATTTAATGAAAATATAAATTAAAGTACTTGATTCTATTTATAGGAATTTAAATTTTTGAGCAAAAAGGTTATTGTAAACTTCTATAATATACTGATTGGGCCTTATTTGAAGTCGTTTAGGTATTTTTCTATAAGAAGAATATCAACCATACAGAAAGAGTGCAGAAATTAATACACAGTTTTCTGTAATTTTAAATTTCAAAGTTTTTATTTGATTTCTTTTTCTGGAGCAAAGAAGAAGTTAGAGGTGAATTAATTCAGATGTTCAAAAGGTTAGAAGTTTAGACTCTGCTCTCTTCTAAAAGTGGCAGAATGAAAAGGCTTGGAATATAAACTTGAATTTTAAAAGGTTCAAAGTTTGATAACACAAATTCAGACTTGTTTTTCAACAAAATTATTTTTGGTTAGTTATAAACTTATGGAAAGGTTTATTTGGTGATGCGATGTATTCACTTCCTTGCTCAATACAAATGTTACCTTTTACTTTAATACTTCTGGTTCACTTTCTTGCTCAAGACAGATGGAACCTTCTCCTGTAATACTTCTGAAAACTTCAGTCATTTTTCAGTGTCATGCTCGTAGGTTACTGATCATCCAAGGAATATGTAATTAAAACCTAAATAAATGGAATAATAAAATGGTAGACTAGCACTAGAGATAACCTATTCACTTGTGAAGACTATATTGGTAGAAAGGCCTTTCATGTAGTTAACCTTATTCACTTGTAGTGTATGTGAAGACTATATTGGTAGAAAGGCATCTCATGTAGTTGACCTTATTCACTTATAGTGTATGTGAAAACTATATTAGTAGAAAAGCCCCTCATGTAGTTAACCTTGTTCTCTTGTATGCATGTGAAGACTATATTGATAGAAAGGCTTCTTGTGTATTTAACCTTCTTCACCTATAATATATACGAAGACTATATTGTAGTGCCAAATTATGACATTATGAGGTCATAATCTATGTCAAGTTTCATAGGCCCCATATAATAAAATATTTAAATGGAGTCAGTTTTTTCTTGTTTAGAGGTGTCTAAAAGTCCCCATATAGCTGTAGCTTATGCCTTAATCTAGCACTGCTATATTGGCAAAAAGTCCTCTCTTGAGGCTAATTTACTTCACCTATAGTATATGTGAAGACTATGTTGGTTAAAAAACCTTTAATGTATGTAACTTACTTCACTTGTAGTAGATGTGAAGGTTATATTGAAAGAAGGACCTCCCATAATGTAATTGGGAATTATGGACTAAATATTTCACAAGTTTAGTCACAAGATGGCAGAAGGAATGAAGAAACAAGAAGGTTTAATTGGCAGTTGCATGAAAAGTTAATGTTTTGTTCATCTAAAAGTCTATGTATGTACACAGGTTGGTCACAAGT